GCCACACAGAGACAGCTACATATGTCGAGGTGTGGCTTTGAGGATCGATACTTGTGTTAGTTCTCTCTCTTTGTCTTTTCTTCCTTTCTCTCCCTCTCCCTTTCTTCCCTCCTTTTTCTCTCTTTCTTTTCTTTTCCTTTCCCTTCTTTTCCTTTCCTTCTCTCTTACCATAATCATTATCGTACCATCAATTTTTTCCATTATCGCTACATTAAAAAAAGTCATGCGTATTTATGTAATATTCTATTTCTGAAAATGATTAAAGCGTCTTAAAGTAGAAAATTGTTAACGAATTTTTCCAAACTTTATCTTTGAATCTTTCTTTCCAGAGGGTTGCAGAATGTTTTTATAGAAAAATAAACTTTTTTAATATTTGAACTCGTTTTTCTGGTCATATCTTGTAAAGTCGAAGAAGGGACCACAGAGTGAAAAGATAGATTCCGGTCCCCTTTTCTCCAGTCCTCTCTTCTCATAATCCCGCGAATCGTTTGAAAAGGCTGCAGATGGAAAGATGTATTCATATGAACTTACAAATATAACACGCAGCATTTCGACTCGCAGTCCGCAATCAATATCGAAATACCATTCTTTAAATCGATATAACGATGGAAAATATTTATTTGCAAATTAAACGCGAAATTGGATATGAGTGTGTGAAAAATATGAAAATAACTGTAAAAAGAAATTGGTAAAAGAGAATTATAAGCGAAATGGTATAGTATTGTACACAATTGGATGTATTATGCAATTAAAGTATAAATTGTTTATAATTAAAGAGTAAAACGTAATGACTACCATTATGTAAAGTAATTTAAAAATTTTTTTTAATACACTTTGAAAATGCTTATTTTAGTTTCTTCTTTTATCTCAGATTTCCGTTTAGATTGAATCGAACGCGGTATCAGAAAAAGAAAATATGAACCCAATTTTTTATGGCCTTTTGATTCTTCTAAAAATAAAAAAATGTAAAGTTGTAGACAATTCCTGTAGACTCGAAATTCTTAAAATAAAAATAATAATAACACAATTCGTAAAGGCCATACGAGTCACGGGCTGATGAAGGTGCCAACGATTAATTTCAATCTTAATTAATCATTAATGTGTAGAATCCTCTTTATTGAACGTTTCGACTCACTTTGGAGTCCTCCTCATTAATTACACATATGTATTGCTGAGGAGGACTCCAAAGTGAGTCGAAACGTTCAATAAAGAGGATTCTACACATTAATGATTAATTAAGATTGAAATTAATCGTTGGCACCTTCATCAGCCCGTGACTCGTATGGCCTTTACGAATTGTGTTATTATTATTTTTATGTAAAGTTGTAGTTCACACAAACTTTAAAAACTTAAATGTGTCCTAACTGTTCGTTTAATATTAATTAAGTTTATCATTTATTTATATTCTTATGGAATTTATTACGTTTCTTTTGCCGACGATGAGTACCTATATGTAAAATTTATAACAATGTATACACATGGCAAAAATATCATGATCATTTTAGATCATACCGGTTAGTCTTAATATATCGATATACAATATCTTCTAATTTATTCATTTTTTTTTATTTATTGGAATTCTTATTTTGAAATTTATCTTATGTTTCATCTTATTCATGAATGCTTGTCAGATATAATAAAACTGGAAGATGCGAATTCATCATTAAGGTCAATCGTATTAAAAATATCGATCGAGAATCAGGAGGAATGAGTAATGGTGTTGTCTATTAATTACTGGTTTTCGTTTGATTGACGAGATTTTGTGTCAAAACGAATTATCGTATTAACGCTGCGCGTTAACTGTGAAATAATACTTCTGTCAGGAAAAGTTTTGCTCTCATTGTGGCGGTATAGCAACCCAGTTCGTTGATCGATCTCGAAATAGGTACGCATAGAGGACAGCGCATTGCGGCGAAAATGCTGCCGGATAGGTAAGACAAATGAAAGTATGTTAGTGAAGAATAGAGCTAATCGAATTTTCTTAAAATATTTCGGAAATAGTAATATTTCACTTCTATTAATTTTTGAATTATTTATTATAATTATTATATATTGCTGAGTAAATAAAAATGCAAGTTAAAATATCAATAACTTGGAAATTTAATTATTTGACTAAATCACTTTTTTCAATAGTCATCATAAATTTAAGTCTTACAATTAGAAAAAGTTTGGGAGTTTCCAATTTTACTAGAGTAAAGATTGAAATTCTATTTTTTGCTTAGCATGTTGCTATGCAAAAGATATGAATGTCTTGTGTTTACTTGTACCTCGCCGGCAACTTTTATGACAAAGAAAACTTGTATATTCATTAAGAGAAGCCGGATTATCTTGACATTTAGCACGTAAAATAGCGCCTCGGCATCGTAGAAGGTTTCTTCGTGTCATCTGACGCATATCGATCGAGAATGATTCTTGTTGTTGTATAACGAATGCAAAGAAAAACATATCGTTATATGAGTCATTGAATGACAGCGTTTTTCGCGTATAAAAGAATAGGCCATGTCTTCATTTGACTCTAATCAAGCTCGAAGCGGAGCAAACTGCTTCTCGGATTAAAAGGACGAGAGAAGAGTTCTTTCATTGACTTTAGTATATTGACTTGTAGTAATCGTAGCAAGTGCTGTTTAAACATACAAACTATTCTCTCGTATTCGAAAATCGATCTTTGTCTTCGACTTGCCCAATATCCGTGTAGAAAACTATTTATTGCACGACCTAAATCTACTATACGATTCGTGATTCTCTGTAATTTTAATTTGCCACATTACAAAATTGATTATTCGCTCTCTTCTTTTTTATAAGTCTTTAACACAAATATATTTTTTATGCATTTAATAAAAAATTAATAAAAATAGTGAACTAACGAAATTAGATGCAAAATAATTTTTATTTTTGTTTTTAATATGCGTAGCGATAAAATTCGATGTTAAAAGAAAACAGGATGTTTTGAATATAATTGATAAATAAATTTCTTTAACAATTACAGATAATTTATTTTATTTGTCGATTTTATTATGCGCAATTTCATTATCCACATTTTAATTGCATCTTATTCATGATAAACGTTATAGTGAGGGGCACTGTTTTTTACTTATATTCTTGCACATCATTGAATCGAATGGAGTTGAATCTAGTCGCTGTAAATCGAGTGCAATTGTTAGCCTAGTGTCGTGCGGACCGTTAGGCAAGTTAATTGACAACAATCGTTCTTCAAGAAGGCGTCAGTTTGCATGACGATTATTGTTCAGTAACAATAAAGAGAATAATATGAGATGATAGCGTTACGTTTCCGCTTGATGATATTGAACTCAAGGATTTCGGATATCACCAACATGTATAAATATCGAATATCACATTCATGAAATCTATAACTTGTTAGGAATTGTCATTAAATTTATAACAATTCCACGCAAACTTGTGGAATTTAAATGGAGAAAGCTACAATTTGTTAGGAATTGTCATTTCAAGGATGTATCTGAGCTATTTCCAAAATAGTACCAAATTGATGAAACTTCGAGAAACTCTTCCCTTGTTATCTGTAATATACTAAAAAAATTTCAAGTAGATTCACTAAACCGTTAGAGAGTAATTATTATTTTAATTATGATGATTATAAAAATTTAATACTAGTACTGACCAATTAATAACTTATTTTAAGCATTAAAAATATTATTAATAGTATTTTTAATACTGTGTGAAAATAAGTGATATATTAATTGGCCAGTATTAATATTAAAGTTCTATAAGAGACGTTTTCTTACGGGAAACACCATTTTGTCGAATGTAATTAGTAATAAAAGTATTGAAGAAATAGTACCTAAAACATTTAATTTTTTTTATACGTATAGATCCTAAATTACTGGAACTTTTTGCAAAATTAGATTAATTTTCACATGGTTTCAGAGAAATTATTATTCACAACAATTTTGCGGTATATATGTATGGCTCAATATCACATATTCTGCCATATTCTGCCATAATAATATATTTATATTATTTAAATAATGCATATTTATCTTTTTTAACCATATTCCAATTACTTTTTTTCTATTTTGCACTGGTAAATAATGTTTTGTTATAGAAAGTTAAAAAATGACAAATAAAGTTAATAAAATATTGAAAAAGTGAAAAATAACTTTTTAAAAATAAATATATTGTATTATCTACTATTTATATAAGTTATCATTAGATTTACTACACGTTTGGCGCAGTTATGTAAATATTTCGAATTTGGGAGACTTTTGTCAACAATTGTATCTCAGATACATCCTTAACCTTATAACACGCAAACTCATTGTTTAATAATATTGTCCTGTGAATTCAACGATTTCGGATATTACCGGCATGTAGCATCGATTATCACGTTCGTGAAACCTACATCTTGTTAGAAATTGTCATTAAGTTTATGGCATGCAAACTCGTGAAATTTAAACAGAGAAAGCTTTACGATTATGCACTCCGGTGTCGTCAATAATCGTAATCTTGATCAGCATGAATTTCCTCGTTTCAATTGTGAAAAATTTGATCGGATGTGCGCAATGCGGCAATTCAAAACTTGCTGATGCAAAATCTAAATATGTTAAAATATATTATGAATAGAGAGAGAGAGAGAGAGAGAGAGAGAGAGAGAGAAAGAGAAGAAAAAGTAAATAAAATATGAAATACAAACAGACAATAGACATATGTATGTAGAATTATACATAATTATGCACGTTACATTTGAAATATCAAAACTTTTTTTTAAATCTTATTCGTTAAATAAATTTTATTTAATTTTAGCAAATAAAATAGTGATAAATGAAAGAAAGTATAAAGTAGATATTAAAGAATGGAACAGCTTTCAATGTTAGTTATATAAGATAACATTTCGTTTCTATCATTGGTCCTTTTATAGAAGATCCATTTAAAATATAAACGCTTAAATATAGGATCCACTTAAAATACAAAATTGTAATAAGTACTTTCACAAATTTGACGTCTTGTCATCCTTTCTGTTACAGTGAGATTACATGACAGTATACAAGAGGAGAATTTCCATTATCTTGTCTTTGATCTGTAAGTATACCAAATTGTTATTTTTGACTGTTAAATGTAATTACACTTTTTTATGTGGTTCTTGTGTGTTTTCTTCGGTGAGATTAAATTGGTTGTTTTATAGAGCTCGAATGGTAGTAAATTAATTGAAATCTTGAATGATTGTAATGACGATGCACAATTTATATCATTTATTTTAATGGCATTTTTAACATTTAATGTTTTCAGAAGTGTATCATTGTGTCGTTAATAGTTAATCATATATGTGTGTCTCCATCTGATACGTAGGGAAAAGAAAGTATTGCAATCGGCGTTATTTATTTGTGAAAAATTACAATTATTATTTTATTTATATGGAAAGATGAAATATTGTTATTTTAAAACAGAGTGATTCTAAAATTTATTATTTTTTTTTAAAGATCGAAAATTTTTATATCTATCTCTTTATTTAAAAAGCTTTATATTTTCGATCCACGCAATCGTGTTGGGAGCACTTGATACGATTCAGCTGACAATAGACGCGATTCTCGAGTTATCGCGCATCGGTCCGTATTCAGAACGCACTTGTAACAATGTTAACGCGCATTTAGCATACAATTTACATTACATATGCTATAGAATTTCAGAAATAAAAGTGCATTTATTGATCGTGCATCTATCGATCAAAGCGCGTTCTGAATACGGGCCATTACGTTCATCTATTAGTCTCGATTTTACTAACAAGCTCCTAGCAGCGACGAACAACATAGAGGCAATTCGTGAGCTCTAATTGCATCAAGTAGATACCAATCTGTGGCCTTTTAAAATTGTCAGCAATCGACGCACGAGTCGAGAAAGTATCGCGTCTAATTTAATTTCCGCGCGAGAATACGCGCGACCACTCCGTTACGTTGATATTTGTAACGTTAATTTACCGTATACCATAAATTTCATTTCTCCTTCTTGCCACGTGGCAACGATATGACTTTACTACTTTGCCACGTCGCCTGCAATTAATCTACATCAGGTTGCAGAGGATTTATAGTAATTTCATCCGTTCGTCTTTTGCTCAACTTTTTATTGACACGCCATTTTTGGTTTCGTTGAAATTCTGCCGAATTTTTAATATTCGAGCAGTTAATTACTTTTAATTCTATGCACATACATAGGATATGCAGCAGTTCTTCCATCGTATTTAAATTTTTAACGCAGAAATTTTCTTTCAACTGTCAATTCATGTATAATTTTTTCTGGTAAATTTGATTTATCATTCGGTTGCGATGTAGGCCTGTCGCATTTTAATGTAATAGCTATCTTTAAATACTAATCAATGAGATTTTACATGTATAATGTTATAGGAGAAATCTTGCTACTTTTTGCACAACAAATTCGAATACAAGCGGTATTGCGAGAACACGCTTACGTTATATGAAGCATTTACGAAAATTCACGCTGCTTTTATTCCCGGGGTTAAATGTCCCGCTACTTGGCGATATTGCTTTACCACGCGATCTCGCGACGCGCTCGCGAAATGGAATTGAAACGTAAAACGCTTACAGAGTCACCGGCGGAGAACTGTTCGAGGACATCGTCGCCCGGGAATTCTACAGCGAGGCGGACGCCTCGCACTGTATTCAACAAATCCTGGAAAGCGTTCACCACTGCCACCATAACGGAGTTGTGCATCGGGATCTGAAAGTACGTAGAGAAAAAGGGTCGAGTTTGTTAAGCGTGCTGCGCGTTTGTAGGGCCGACGTTGAAATCAAACGAGCAAACACCTAGCTGCAGCGCGGCACATCTATCCTTCCACAATGCACTTCCGTCCAATGCTTCATCTACCTTTCGCGATTTCTATGAGACATTCCGGAAACTCTAATATGTACAATAATAACAGAAAACGGTATTTTTCATCGTGTTCTCGATCGAAGTTTAAAATTAAAAATTCGCCGATATTTATCGGTTTTCAGAACTCAGTAACTCCATAATTTAGAGTCACGTTTTATATTAATTTCAACGAGGATATATATTCCGTTTATTTATATAATGCCAATGAAATCATATGGAATGCTCGAATCTTACTCGAGTTTAATTTCAATCGAAATTTTGATTAAGGAAGAGTTAATGAATATCGACTCAATGTCGAGCATTTAACGATGTCGACGCGGATCTGTGCCATTTTCTGTTGCAGCCCGAAAATTTACTCCTCGCGAGCAAGGCGAAAGGGGCGGCTGTGAAATTAGCAGATTTTGGTCTGGCGATCGAGGTGCAGGGTGAAGCGCAGGCATGGTATGGTAAGTTGATTTTGCTTTTTCTGGTGAATTAATTCTCTGGAACTTATACTTTGTCTTCATGCGTCGATCTAGTTCTAACAATAATCGAAGCGACCGAGCCATGCAGGAATCTTCATAAGAAATTTCTTGTGGAAAGAAAAGCGTGTGTTATTTCACAATTCTTTCGTGATATTTACCTAACTTTTGTTCGATAATCCGAATGTTCCATCTTTTTTCTTCGCAATCGGACCATTATAAAAATTAGTCATCCATAAAAAGTCAGGACAGAGATATAAAAAAATGATACATTGCGTTGAGACTTTCAGTGAGTTAAGAGATCGAACAATTTCTTTAATATAAGCAAAATAATAGGATTCGCGAAATAACGTGGCTCAAGTTGCGAACTTATCCGACACTATAATTTACAAGTGAAATGTAGCTTTTTCTCCTTAGTCTTCATTCAAATATCGTTGCTATACAGTTACAATTTGCATTTATATTTTCTTCGTATCGTATAACATATTATTTTCTTATGGTAAGAAAAGTTAGCATTAGCGTAGTGCAAGAAACGTCAATGATAAATAGAAAAATTATTGCCAACTTATTCTAATAGGAGCGCTATTATTCAGATTTTTTCATTAAAGAACAATTTTAGAGAAAACTTTAGATTTCTTTAGAGGAGAAGGTGGTATTATGGCCAGTGCACATATTGTGGCCTCTCTTAATATTTCCGCTATTATGTAGCGAATCCTAATGATTACTTATGGAATTATTAGTTCAGTAGCTCGCCGTTACACCATGACGCTAATATTACCAATACTCAATAACTAGCACTTATTATAATGCATTTTTACTTTCAAGTATTTCGAAACGTTTCTGAGGCACACTTTAGCATTTAATTACATCTGCTTCCCCCCCCTCAATTTTTCTTAAACTTGAGCGTATTATCACATGAATATATGTATTTTTGAGTATGTTGTTTGCCATTTAACATTTTATTTGAATGTATATACTTTGAATTATGCAAATTTAAACAATACCATGGCATTTTGCTAATGTGGCTATCTATGGATATTGATTACTCACAACCTCTTTTTTGAGATCTTCATATCAAAATAATTATTTGATAATCGATTGTATAACTCTACGGTTAATCTATAGTTTATATTACATGTACTATTTTTAGTACTGAGATTTTTAGTACTGAGCAGCTTATATACAGAAGTTATGTGTATGAAGAAGGTAATATGTATATACATTCATTTGCATACATTTTAAAATGTTTTACTTTTTTGTTAATTTTGTAATCAAATGCTATTTTCTAAACAAAACTAATATTTTAAGGCTATTTTTATGAAAGGCCACATTACCACTCATTTTTTTATTCGAGTCATTATGCAATGTCGCCACATTTTTATTAATAGTATCCTAAGTAATAAATATTTCGTAACTTTGAGTTCAGAATCGATTCAACAACATTTTAACGAATGTAATTGTCAAGTTTTAAACTTAAATATTGATTATTAACAAAGTTATTGTGTAAAATGTAACTGAGGTGCCATAATACCACCTTCTCCTCTATTAATAGAAGACTATCCTTTTCATATTTTATTTTATTTCTTCTTTATGTTTTTCTTTACATATTCCCTTCGAGTACCTTTTTTTAATATATGTAGGTATATCTCTCAATATTCGCTCAAATGAGAAAAATAAAAAAAAGATATTGGCTGGAGGCAGTCTTATCGTTAAAATACATATATTTCGAAGAATTTCGGTATACCGCATTTTAAAATCTTAAACCTGTTCTTATAAACTATTTCGCGTTGTTGCACCATTTGTGCGAGCCGTGAACTTGAATCTTTCTGTCTACTTTGTGCCTTGTCCATTTGATTTACATACATTGTGCACTCAGATGTCTATACGAGCCAGCATATTTGCGTGCCAGCTGGCTACTCGTTTTGTTCTTCTTTATGCAAAAATACGCGTGGGGAAAGTTTTCCGATAGCACGGTGAATTCTTCCGCGCATGCAGGCACTTCCATAAAGAAACTTCTCCTTGATTTTACATTCCTTATCGAATTCGAAGACAATCTTGCGGGAAATTTTGTTTCAAACGTTTATTTGCCATGTGTGTCTTTTGTGATATTTAATGTCAAATATCTTAAATATTTACATATAACGCTCACTTAAATTCATATTAACATTTACATGATTTAATTTCATTTAAATTGTTTTGCCGATTTGTTAAATGCTTGACATTTTTACTTTATTATTCAAAAAAATTACAAAATTATGTTCGGATTTTTTGAAACACTTTGTATATCCTGATGGACCAGATACAATTTCATATCCTAGTAACACTTTTTTACTTTTCACTTTTATCGCCGCAATTAATTTTTTTCTCGACGTGATGCTGAAAACACACGCACTGTAAATTCATCAAATTTATGTCAAAAAATTATTCCACGCATGGAAATTACATAGCTTGGCAAGGCAATTAAAGTACAAAAGAGTAAAAGACGCAAAAATGGATAGTTTAATACAATTGAAACACATTTTTCGAAAAATCAATATTTATTTAATTGTAGTTTTACACAAAACGAGTGTTTATTGGATAAATGAAATATACATATACAATACATATAAATGGTTACATGAAGATTAAAATGTTTAGTCCAAAGAAAATGTCACTACAATGCTTGCAAGCACATTTCTCTGTATACTTATAATCATGATGGCATCCGTAATCGTATTATTTGTTTTTCGAGAAATTTACTCTTAATGTTTGTGAAAACATTTTTAGCGAATGGTTAACAAAATAGTACGTTGAGCCAAAAAGTTCAATGCGATTATTGACAGAATATTTCCGAGGGCAACCATAGACGATCTGATTGCGCAATTGTGCTTTTGTTGCGTCAAAGTACGACTGCATTCTGGCTACAATCATAACGGTTATACAACGGTGGTGTATGCTTGTTGAAAATTAATTACACGTGGCAAAGCGCGATAAAATCACCAATGTAAAATTTAAAAGATATGCTGACCGAGATCTCACGATAACACGTAATTGCCCCAGTTACGTTTTTCGCGTGTCATTAATAGCAAAAATTTTACTGCAAAAATTTACTGCCCTCCTATTTTCTTTTTCACTATTGTTATTTATATAGGGTGTATCTAAAATAACGTACACTAATCATTCAGTGCTATTCCTAATAAAAAACTGAGTCGAAAAGTCCTTTACCATTTTGTAATTTTTGCAATAGTTAACAAGATATTAATTATAAAAAATTGCTGTGAATATGGGTTTTCAATAATTTTTTACTCAAATACTATCAACTTTACAGACAAACTGCTACAGATAAAAATGGGTTATTTTCTTCTCATAAAGTTATGAGAATTTTTTTAGAATTTTTTCAGCATTTTTTATTATCGTATTTTCTCATGTTGGTAAAAATAAGAAAATGTAATACTAAAAAGTTAATAAAAAATTCTGAAAAAATTCTTAAAGTTTTATGAGAAGAAAATTAACTTTTGTCTGTTGCAGTTTTTCTGTAAAGTTGATAGTATTTGAATAAAAAATTATTGAAAACCAATATTCAGCGATTTTTAGAAATTAATATCTTGTTAACTATTGCAAAATGGTACAGGACTTTTCGACTCAGTTTTTTATTAGGAATAGCACTGTATATATAGTGTACGTTATTTCAGATACACCCTGTATGGTTTTTGATACATTGTTTGAAGGAATAAATTTTGCGTATCGTAAAATAAATATTTACTAGCTTTCGTAGCCACATGAGATAAATCTAATATCTAATCAACGATTAGCGTAAAAATCTGTAATTTATGTTACTGTAGACTATATATCTACCTCGCGTAGATATGCTTTTTTTTGACAAATATATTATGATGATATTAGTTTATTGCACAAATTGTTTAAATATACACATTTTAATGAAAACTGATACACAAACAACATGCATCGCCATCGATTATCTAAATTATCAATATTATAATATAACAATGTCAATTTTATTTTAAAATTTTCCAATTAATTTATTAACAAATCAACAATCACTCACACAAAAACGTAATAAAAGTTTACGAGCGACTGTCGTATTTGCTTTCCGAACAAGGAGAATTAATTGAAGCGATGAGTGGTAATACTCGGGACGTGATTTTGCGCACGTAACGCCCTGATCCCTTCGATCCTTCGTACGGCGTGGTCGTGTCCTTCAAAAGGGAATGAATCCAAATAATTGATAAAAAGGTTTCGCTGGAACCCCCGGCTATCTCAGTCCGGAGGTACTGAAGAAGGAGCCATACGGAAAACCAGTCGACATATGGGCGTGCGGTGTCATACTGTACATCCTCCTGGTCGGTTATCCGCCCTTTTGGGACGAAGATCAGCATCGGCTCTATGGGCAGATCAAGGCCGGATCGTACGATGTATGTATTATACGATTTATTTAGTTTCTTTTTAGCTATATATTTTAAATTTATTGAAAACAACATTTTCGATTTTTTACATTTACTTGTGTAATTATCTCATTATCTGTATTATAAGAATTATAACTAACGTTTTTACGTTTGTTTTGTGTATAGTATCCGAGTCCAGAATGGGACACCGTCACGCCGGAAGCCAAGAACCTTATCAATCAGATGTTGACGGTGAATCCAGGAAAGAGGATCACTGCCAGCGAGGCACTGAAGCATCCATGGATCTGTGTAAGTTTATCTTATCGAAGCAAACAATTTCGTTCAAATTTATATTACACGTTTACATAATTCAGAAAGTAACTTAATCATATTAGAATATTAGATCGTATCATATTAGATTACTAGCAAAGAGATCTTATTGCACGCGAGTATCGCATTTCTATATCTATGTAATACTACGTAATGTACCGTACGTCATATATATATATATGCAATACATTTTTTTATACATTAAAATATGATAGTTATTTAAATTGGATACATGAAAAATGTATATAGACTGATAAAATAATAAGATATACGTATACTTTTATCGATAATAGTAACGCAAGTCAAATGGACAACAACCGTTTGTTTTTTTATATTCTCAAGCATTATTGTTATTCATGTTGACATAGCTTGTCTCTTCTCTGCATAAATAGAATTTTATTTTTAGCGGAACGTGCGAAACTTAAAATTTAATCTCGAATAACTTGTATCATTCTCTTCGGACGATGCCTGATATCGTTTCCTGTTTACTTTGTGTTTCAGCAACGTGAGCGTGTTGCATCTGTGGTGCATAGACAAGAGACCGTGGATTGCTTGAAGAAATTCAATGCAAGGCGCAAGTTAAAGGTGAGTTTTTCACTCAAAAGTTTTGTCCTATATATACGTTTATTCAACGTAATTACGTATCATTGCCTTAAATTTCACTGTATCTGCCTGATAATTATATGATTTCGGAATTTTCCATTATGAATTCGTGGTTTGTTATTTAAATGGCTCGGCGGTTATTTCGAAAACCAGTTACTGGGCAATAAATGAAAATACATTTTTCTATTTTGCGTGAAACAGTAAAATTAAAAATAAAAACTTGGACTTTTCATGAATATTATGCGAATTTAAGCGTTTAAAAATATAAAATACTTTATACTCATTCGGATAAACAATCGTTTTGTTATCTTCCGTAATTTTACCGTTTCCAATTTATTGCGTTTGTCTTAATTAGTAGTCGGATTGTATTTGATCCAAATAATCGTTAAATCACGATAAATGGAAATTGAAATTCGCAAGAGGTTCATTTCGGGAAATATACGAATATTGTATAGGAATGGTATAGGTACGAATATAGGCTTTTATCAGAGTTGTCGAGAGATTTGTCGAAATTTGTTTGATTCGCGATTATCAATTACTAATTTTATAGTTCATGGATATGTATAGTATGACGATAATCGCGCCGTAAATTCTCATTCTCGCCTGCCGCAAAATCTCATATATTAGCTCCGACCATTTACAAATGCAAATTCCATTATGTCCGCTTATCACATTGCGGTCTGGATTGCGTCCGTGGCGCAGAGCTGCGGATGTTAGTAACATCTGTAAAATTAGAACATCATGACGCATCGTGGCCGGAGGTATTGTAAATTCTTATCAATTCTTTCTCGGGTAGAATCATCGAATGAGGTCAATTTCACGAAATATATATTATAACATTTCAAGAAATCTGCTAAACTTCTGTTAAAATGTAAATTATATATGTGAAAAATATCTCGAGAAGAAGAAATTTTTTATACATATAAATTTTATTTTTCGCAATAACATAGTTCTGTGCATCTACATAATTCTTTTTTTTATTGATGAATAATTAATAAAAATTGTTACTTTTATCTATTTACGGTTTCAAGATTCTATAGTTTTAAAAAAGCCGCTTTTTTCAAATTGCTGGAAAAAACCGGAAAAATTTCGGTTTTTTTCCGAAAAACTGATTTTTTAGAAAAATTGCTGTTTTTGCTATGTAAAAGACATAATAAGTAACTTCTAAATTCCTTTATAAAATTAATGCGATCTATGAAATTATGTAGCATTATTTTTATTAAAATTTTTTAGTTATCCTTCTATTTTTATAGTAAAACCTAATCTAACCTTTCTTTAGTATATGGCAAAGCTTAAGACAGATTTTTAACTCTAGTTTGCCACACTGGTATAATGAACTCCTGAAGTGTCTCTTTGTAGTTTATATTTTTCCAATATTTTGTTACGAATCCAGTTTAAATCCAAATTATTTTCTAGACCTATTATTATCATATAAATATGATGTTTGGACTCTATATTTTTAATTCTTGCATTAATGGTGCAATAGTATATGTTTTATTGAATACATTATGTGACCTTAATCTTTTATACAATTTCAAAATTTCTGTTAACTTATCCCACTGTGTACTCTATACGCAATTATTTTCTTTACGGAAAGAACCGAGAAGCAAACGTGATAGATTTTACGAGCACACGTGAATTTTTCCAAAATGAATTTTTCTACCCTTGGGAAAAAAAACCGAAAAAATTCGCGGAAAAATTGGAAAAATTGGGTTTTTTCCGATCCTTTAAAACTATACAAGATTCTATTATACTAACATTTCAATATTAAAACAATCGACATTTCAAGTGATTTATGATTTATGATAGAAAAGTAATTGAAAAGTGGAAAAAATTAGTGAAGAGTTTCGAAAATTTTTAAAGCAAAGTGATGAGCTGTCGATTCGATCAAGAATCGATGATGTCTCCCTACCTAGTCGTTCCTACGGCACTGTTCGACAAGTCACTGACGATTAAATGATGGCACGCATCGAGCAGTACGACTCTACTTGTCGTTGCAATCGCCGTCTCTCGAGTCTCGACGCGGTGTACGAGAGCAGAGAGTGCCGCTTTTGTGTGAGAGCCACGTGTGTTATAACGTTCGTTCACCGTTATCGGAATGCGTCGAAAACTTGAAGCACGTGCGAGGACAAACGCGTATCCCTCCCAAAGGATTTCGATTTAATTGACTGTGAAACTGAGAATGCAAGAATTCCGCGAAACATTAAACGTTTGTATAAAAGATGGACATCGGAAAGAACGTGAAAAATTCAATTATCTCTTAAATTTCATTTGATTTCGTTGATTTTATCGAGAATTAGCGTTTAAGTGAGCAGTGCGATTTATAATATATTTTTTTAGTACAATTAATTGTAATTCTTGTTCTAATGATTATATAGTTGATGACACATTTACAAATTTTTTTTTAGATACAGAATTTCGCAAACGCGAACTCTAATAACTTTTTATAATACATATTTATTTTAATTGTCACTGTAATTTATTCCTTTAAATTCTTATTATATGTTCTTATTATATGTAAAGTTTTTGTCGTTTAAATTTTCTTATATTGTATTTGTATGTTGAGCTAGAAGTTTTGAAGGAAAATATATCTCAAATTTCATATTTTAACAAAATTACGCGGTTTTTAATTAATTTTAATATTCATAAAAATATTAGATATATATTAAACCAATTATCTTTATTAAATGTGTATCACAAAGATTCATATACCATTTGCTTTTTTAATGTAAAACTACACTTAGTTAACTACAGCAATGCTTATTTAATTGGAACATTGGTTTGTAAGAATTATATCCTTGTAAATTACGAGCAGAATTGGATACGCAATTTCGACCTATTTCTTCATGCTTACAGTCTCAATTGAACGATATAATCACGACAACACTGATAGTAGTCGTTCAATGCCTGAACAAAGCGCAAAGAAAACGTTTCATTATTTGATATGAACGACGATGTATGAACGGTTATTAAACGTCCAACAATAATGGCTCGTAATCGCGATTAAACAACACGTGCGCAAGTCTTATCGTTCAAGTGCATAATATTTAAATCGGTACATATGGTTACTGTGGTTAATATGGTAACATACGGTTATACAATTCAATAGCGTTTTTAATATCGGGAATAAAGTATGTTTCTTTATAAACGAGAAAAAAGGTATTGGCTCTTATAGAAAGATATTGATGTTTTATGTTAGAAAAGTCATGATTACTTAAAAATTTAATTAAATAATTTCTTTACGCGCGCGCGCGTGTGTGTGTGTGTGTGCCGGTTGAATATTTTTGACATGAAATAATAAAGAGATATTATTATAGAGATATTGTTATATTACATTTGCTGAAACTAAGCTGTAACTTCGTATACCAAATGGATTTTAATGTCGTTGAAAAACGACATTACTGTAATGTGTAATAGATCATTTTCATGCGTTCAGATGAGAATAATACGTTTCGAAACCGGCTCGAATTACATTAAAAGTATTAAAATTTGCTTCTCTCGCAAATGTACTTGATATCGTTATCTTAATAACAGTCGACGACAGCAAGCGCGCAAAATCGATCAAGTTCATGTTCGTCTATACCCTTGCGTGACGTAATTATAATTGGGTACCTAGGTTAATTATATATAGCATTTATTTAGTCACAGCGATCGTATTTTTTGCGCGAGGTGAAGTTGCCTCTGTGAGAATCAAATATCACGGCAAGCCAATTATCAAGCTCCTCCGTAATGAAATGAATGACTAGCCGGTAAACTTTATAAGCATTTGAAAATTGTAATTTCAATAATACTATCAATAATACCTTGTTTCTTTTTAATTTTCATTTATAATCGTTTATTTATATTCTATCAAATAATATTAAAAACAAAATATAATTTTGAAAATAAATGCTTCTTTTTTTATATTGATAAAAAATTGTTTCATTGTTAATCAGTGAAATCGATGTGCAATCATGTAACAATGATAGAATTATCTCTTTTGCTTTGCATGGCGTTGATAAAGATACCGTTTTTTTTTCCTCACGATTTTAGCGCAACAATAATGATTTGATTTTGTCAATATTATGCAATAACAATAGATAAATCCATGTTTATGTAAAACAGTAAATTATAATATAAATTAGAAAATTTCTAATTTATATTATAATTTACATTACTTCACTTGGAGAAATTGATAATGCGATTTTGTTTTGTCATAAAAGACAAATTACCTTATAATATTATCAATTTATATTCATTATTAGAGACTCAATAAATTTTGAGACACTTACGAGGCCTTGCTCTTCTATCGTGTTTCTTCAAGTTCCAGTTTTATCGAAATCGTAGTAGCGAACTCGCGTTAGAGGCAAGTAATCAGTCAAGCACATAGAAATGACAGGGACGTCAAAGTAACCATCTGAATACTGATTAAAATCTGACTCATAAAAGTGCAAATGCCTAGGAAGTTTAATGACACCCTCCGCTTGTTCGTTCGTTTGTTCTCGCGCAGATTGAGACATGCGAGCACTGAAGAATAAATTTATGTTGTACAGACAATAGGAGGCAACCGTGTCCGAAGTAATGAAATTTTAATCACTGTCAGTTTGACGTCTGGCAACGTGCTATCGTTCGCCTTAGCGTTAGGTACGGTGAAAGTATAATAACGAATATCGATAATATGACATCTTCACGATATTTATATTGTGTGTGTTCGCTATACACAGAATGATGTAGAATTATTTAGGACTGCGAAACATTCCATATATTTTTAAGTATAACAACACACCCATCGATTTGCACAGGTCGAATGATTTTCAATTAGCGTTTACTATTACTCTGTATATTTCTAAAAGCAATAATAGGGGTAAAGATTGATATAGATCAAACGATGAAAGGAGAGAAGTGTTTTAGTTTTTGTGTAAAAACGCTTTTACATCGTTTTATGACAAAAATGAAATATCCGTTTTAATATGGAATAGTTTGGTGACAAGAAGTAAAAATTAATTGTTTTACCTTTCCTTTAAAAGGATTACTATTTGTTTTTAATTCAATTATTGATATATTAGGTTGTCAAATATCTCCCTTCCGCTTTTTTGTCTTTTGAATTTCGCGGCTATGTACAAAGCGCTACAGAGGTCGTATCTGGCAATACTATACACCATTTCAAAGGTCTTGACATAACCTACAAAACGACGCTATGCATGATTAGTTTGGATATTGCGTTCAACAGTTATAGACGTGTAAACATGGAGTTCACTAACGCCGAAATTCGCGCTATTTCGTTGATGACTCGTCAGAAGCTACGGGAGCTCGGATGGGAGGTTTTATCGCATCCACCATATAGCCCGGACATAGCGCCAAGTGATTACCACCTGTTCTTGTCCATGGCGAACGCCCTTGGTGGTGTAAAGTTGAACTCAATACAGGATTGTGAAAAGTGGCTGTCCGAGTTCTTCGCAAGTAAGGAGGGGGGCTTCTACGAGGGGGGTATTATGAAGTTGCCGTCTAGATGGAAACAGATTATCGAACAAAACGGCGCATATTTGAACTAAATCCGATCACTGTAACACTTTTTAAAGAGCAATAAAGCGGAAGGGAGATATTTGACAACCTTATATTATCATTGTTCGTCGTGTGTAATATTCTTAATTAATTTAAACGCATTAAAAAGTATGTAACTAATGCGCAAATTCGTAGTTGCTAGTTTGTCCAACATTTAGTGTGATTAACTAACAAGGGAAGTTTCACAACTGTCCGGAACCGATTTGATTCTCCATAAAATATGTTGTAAAACACGAAAATCTAAGAGACACGTATTTTTTTATATGTGCGCTAATTCATGTTTAAGAGGTGAAACACCTCTTGTTATGAAGAAAAAAAATTTTTTAAATTTTTGTTAACAATTGTTAAACAAAAAAATTTTTTTAATTTGTTTTTCTTCACAACATTGAAGTACTCTTGAAACCGTACAACTTTTGCTTAAAAAATTTTTTTCTATCTTTTATACTTCCGACGATATTCGCCTCGAAAGAAAAATATCGTTTTTTTTTTCAAAGGGGTGTTTCACCCCTTAAACATGAGTTAGCGCACGTATAAAAAAATACGTGTCTCTTAGATTTTCGTGTTTTATAACATATTTCATGGAGAATCAAATCGGTTCCGGACAGTTGTGAAACTTCCCTTGTAAGTCAGATTTATTAAAATTCCTAAAGAGAGAGAGAGAAGAAGTAAAAGAGATAAAATTGCACTTTTATGACTGTGAAATATTGAATGAGGTTGGAAATTCGCTAAGTGTATCTTTAAAATAACCGTGAATAAGAGCATAAAGATTTTCTTTTAAATTATGCGGTCAGTAAGTTGTTGCCGTGTAAAAATTTGACTTAATAAAAACAAATTTCGGGATTAATGTAATTTTGTGACGCTATTTTGAAATTTGATAATATTCTACTTACTCGTGTAAGAGATATAGATGATATCGATAAATCTCTATCAAGACTTTGTTATTTAATTAGTCGCGTAATTCGAATGTAAAACGGAAATGAGCAATGTTACTAATCGGGCGTGATTTGAAACAGACGGGCGAGATAAAATATCGTTTCATTTTAGAGATAACAGACGTGGAATATCCGTCCGAACACATTTGCGAATCTCCGATTCGCTCGTCCGACGGACAGGCTTATTACATAAAGTTCGGCGACGCATCTCGAACTGTTTGCTATGGAACACAGTGAAATGTTGTCATTCTGTGCGACAATGTTCCCAACTTGCCGCGAATGTCACCGAGCTTGATGAAAGACGAGAGTTTACGAGTAAACTTCAACCCGAAACTCTGTATAATCATTCGACCTCACTCTTAAGGTCGCCTATCAGTCGCGGACTCGCTTGTCTTCGAATTATTTCCCGTAATTAAAAGCCTATCATGATGCGGTAGTTTTTGAACTTTTCCCAAACATTTATCATAATCGTGCACACGATTGACTCCTATTGATCTTTTTGCATCAAATTATAATAGATTAATCAATAGCTTAACCTAATATTCTATATGTACATGTGATAGTATACATTCTATTTTTGATGTCTTTTTATTAATGCTATTTTTATTTTATTTTTATGAAAGAACAAAATTTTCTACTGCCATCAAGAATTTTCTATCTTTTCTATCCTTTTACGTCATCATGTTTGTTTTACTTCACTGATGTTATCTGACCGCGAAAACTAATGGTAATCGTCTTTGCTTTTCACTTGCAGGGCGCTATATTGACGACCATGCTGGCGACGCGGAACTTTTCCAGTAAGTATGATGCACAGGGTAAGTACCTCCGGCCCTCTTCAGCGCTCTACACGGACCACGACAGACAGTACTTTTATATCTTCCGTTAAACTTTACATCTCCATATCTCTGTATACATCCCTTCAACAACCTACCTTAACAAAATTACATCTCTCTCCTTTTCTCCTGTCGTTTATTCGTCTTGCACTTTCGCCACATAGAAGAACTATTCATCTGTCTTTTCGCTCTTTTCGAAAGGTGCTTTATAATGCAGTTGTGCAGTGTCGTTCTTATTAAATATGTTATCTTATAACCACTGTATCACAATGAATAACAAACTGTCAATTTTATCTTGACAGTGTTATGAGGATTGATACAAAATTTTTGCATCAAGTTCTATTGTATTGATATTTTCTGTCTCATAGAAACGACTGCAGAATGGAGCACCTGTGTATATCTTTGCTCGTGCACAGAAATAAACTAGAGTCCTATCTTTGACAACCTTGTATTAAATGATCGAAGGAGCGAGGTTGAGTAAGGAATTAAAAAGTTATAATAACAGCATGATGGTCATGAATAATTGACCGTATCGGTTATCCGAAAATTATTGTTCATGCGAGTTTCGTAGCTAATTAAGCGCATATTATAAACAAATAATCATATTTTATCCTCGCTCACTCGTCATATTGGTTATCACGATATGATGTTCATCCCTACCTATTTCGTATACTTTATATAGTCGATGCACATGGCTCGCACTTCATATCCTGCAAGGACTGTGGCACGTTACCCAGAGCGCAAGAATTTATAATTGTTTACATTGGACATATATGATTTATTTTATGTCGTATAACATAACTTATGTCTATATAACTTATATCTATATAACTTTCGTTGTAGAGGCAAGCAACTATCCCAAATTTTAATCCTTTCGTTGCAGTATCATGTTTTTTTTTTTAAATTACTAGTAAACAAAAATTGTAATTGTATATTGATCACTTTTATTGTGTATCTACGTAAACTATAAATGGTGCAAAGCAACATTTATATTAATAAGAAGATATGTTTATTGTTTATGAAACTATTTCCTGCATTCAAGTGTTTATATATAAGTTTATATATAATTATGAATAATGAAAGGATTAAGAAAATATGTATGTTTATAATTGAGAAGTAAGGTATTGAACTCCACGCACATACACGTTTCTTGCGAAACGAAAATTCTGGGTAACGCAAATTGTCGTCGCAGTGGACTCAAGCAGTTTTCTCTTTCATTGAATCGCCATCGTTATCACTCCATCGAAAAATAATTTGATAGAAGCTAGGCAAATCATTGGATTATCTTGTGTTTCTTCAAAACATTCTTTCAATCGCTATCGTAATCAATCGTTTAATATATCGTGAGTGATCATTTGTCGTAAGAATTACAACAGCACTCGGGGATCTCTGAAAGTTCAATAAAATTTAAATCAGTTAAATTCGCTATGCATCTCTCCGTCTAAACATGTTTGTCAACAAATTTTATCGTCTACACAAAATATTTTATTAAAAATCGCTTATCTGAAATTTCTTATTTATTACGACAAACTTTTTGTCCAAGCTTGTAAGAATAATACCTATATAGGAAACGAAGTTATTAATAAATTGTTGTATTATCGAGGTGTGTTCCCCATTATCCTTAAAATTAGATTTTATAGTCATTTTTTAAATCAACAATTAAAAATTAGGAACACACATACTTGTATTAGAATTTTATGATTGGTGAAAAATGCAAAATCTATACGCAGATTTTATGTCCCGTATTTAAAATGGATAATTGTTTTCTAGATGTTTTACTGGCTTTTCGATTCTCGAGAAAAAATGTACATAAGAATTTCGAAATATGGGAAAACGTGGAAATAATCGGGCGATCTTGTCGTCATAATAATGTTTAATAAAAATTGAATTTCATAAATCACTTATCACGACGCAAACAAGTAGTTTATATTAGATATCACGAAATTGCTAACTGCACGGGACGTATTAAACTTACTACAAAGCTGGTGAAAGTCAGGGCAGAATAATCAATTAATTCAATCCGATCTATTTGTCTCAAAACAGACTACATCGATATCAATTATCTCTAATTTTCAATTATCGATTTCTTAATGTTGTGTGTTGGATCATTAGTAGAATGAACAAATTTTAATTAGAAAGATAATTGGGATAAGGAGATAAACCAACCGGAATTAAGATTTGAAAATAGTAACACAACGCACACAATAATAATTGTATTATTAGAAATGATTTTATTATTGTGCAAAGAAAACGCGTAATTGTGTGTTAAATTGCGACTTTTAAGAATTAGGTATACCGCGAATGTGTGAATAGTTAGCGAAATTGGAAAGATCTATGGAAGGCGAAAAATTTCAACGGATCGAAACGAAAAATAGCTCAACTGTTTCGGTCCACTAGCGAGATTCCCCTATGAATGACTGTACGTTTTATTAATGTTGATTATTTCCATTTTTGTGTCAATGGTTTCCAAACTTCACTTTTCCATCTTTATAATTAATATATCTTCTGTCTCTCTCATTTTTAGAAAGAGAGAGAGAGAGAGAGAGAGAGAGACAGAGAAACAAGTGAACATATTGAGAACATAAAGTTTTTCAAAGATTGGATGAATAATAGAAAAGTATATGCAGTTTTGCTAATTGATATGGAGTCTAGAAGAATTCAATCACAATTAAAATTATAGAAACAACTGCTTAATTTTCCGTTTTTTAAATTAAATAAAGAGAATATATTAATCATTATATTTAATATATTTTAATCATTAAGTTTAGTATATCATCTTTTTTCTGAAAATATTTTTAGTTTGGAAACTCTTGATCATCGGATTGACACAGTCCTAAATAATTTAGAGCAAATTTAGAGCGCTTTTTACCCTTATTCGTGCTACATATATTTGACATTCGAAATATGATAAATGTTTGGAAAGTTAAAATTAGTTTTTAGACATCATTGATATCTTGTCATCGATTTATATAGAAATATTGGAGTATTATATAGATCATTGTTGTATTCTTTAAAGATTGGTAATAAATTATATTGTTAGGAATATGATAATAAATAATCAGTAAGTATAAATACACATAAATAAAAATGTTAATAGAAAGTTATATATTTTATAATTTATGAAAAATTTTTTATAAACAATATTTAGATTTGTATTTTTCGAAGTCCATGTAATACGTACAAAATTAGTAAATTATTACAGAAGTAGTAAAATATATGTAGAAATTACAAATTAAAAAAAAAGGAAATTTTTTAAAATAAGCAACATTCTCAGCTGTGATTTGTGCAGCATTAATTCCAGTTTTTACATAAAAATGAATCTGCTCTTTTAAGAGCGAATATGGGTCATTATAAACATTGCATATATGCATACATATATGTATATGTACACATCTCGCTACTATTTGCTCGAATAGCGTAAATACATGTGGATTCGTTCCACACCTGTAATAGTTGTTTGACAGATAATATGTCACGTTATGTATGGCATATGCATCTATACATATATGTATGTACATATGTATGTACGTATATGTATAGCAACCGAAGAATATCCCTAGAGTGTGCCTCGACTCTCGCCCCTTGCCCCTCTTTTTAGATTGACAAGTAGCTAAGCATCTTGCATTAGTAGATTCGATGATACACGTGTACCATGTATCTGTATAACACACGTGCGTTTTATCTTTTACAATCGGTGTTAGAGTATGTACCTATACGTGTCTATGTCTATTTTTGTCATTTTTAATGATATTTCAAGGATATGCTCACATATTTATAGAATGTCGGGGATAGTTTGCATAGTTCGTCGCGAATTGCTGGATTAAACAATTACACAAATCGAAGACTATTTTGAATCGAGAATTTACATGATAATGAAAAATTCTGCGATATCCTTAGGCCTGAAAAACTTTCTATTGTGACAAAAAATTAATTCATCTATTTCGGAAAAAGGATTAAAACATGATATGATTGGTATTTATGTTCAAATATCATTTGATACAGGATATGCCAGATTTTTCTTCTGTCTTGCTGCAATTGAGAATTAAGACTGTGCAGTTTATAGTTTGTACAACGCTATATGCTTGTAGATAAACGTAGAATTTTTTATCTACAAAACGTCTCGGTTAAACTTGGATATCTTATTTTTTTTTTTAGATCTGTTGTTATATTTCGCAGTCTTAATAAACAATTATTTGCGGTTTTTTTAAATTTTATGCAAATTATTTCTCTAATATTATATAAAAGTATAATGTACGTAATAATTCAACTAAAGGATCATCGATTTTTCAAAATATCTTATATTTCGAAGTATCATTTTTGCGGTAAAAAATTTTTTGTCACCAGTTATTTTCTAATACTCGATCTTGTATACTGTGGCGGAAAATTGTTCTCGAGTGAGATGATACCGTTTTTATTTACATACGAACGGCTCTTCTCTTTCATATGCCCATCCTCGTTCTACATTTGGCGCGAATCTTTGTTCGAGTGACTGCGAAACAATTAACTCCCGTGTCTTGAGTTTTCTTCTAATGCCCTCCTTCCTCCCTTTTTCCCCTCCCTTTTTCTCTCTCTCTCTCTCTCTCTCTCTCTCTCTCTTTCTCTCTCGTAGAAACCGTCGCCAAAGCTCGAACTTTGACTTTAATTAAATTTATTTTATCGCCTTGAGCCGACTCTCGAACTGTAAGCTCTTCCAACTTTTCCGCGCTCCCCTCTTGGCACGCGACTTCATTCCCCACTTCGGCTTTACCTTTTGTTTTTGGGAGAGGGAGAAAGGCTATTATCCTTGAGCTTTTGGCACACTGTTATTATGAAAATCGGCTTTAAGAGCTCCGCGACAAACTCCGAACGAAATACAGATCGAGAGTTATCGATGGTTTGTTTAGTCGAATTGCTTTTCACGTCGTATCTTGATCGAGACAACTTATGATAGAAGAACCGGTCTTGCAAAAATAATAACTGTCGAAAATCTGTTTGAAGAAACA